GTGAGCTTAGACAGCGCGCATACCCCCCACGCTTTGTCCGAATGACCTGGTTAAGAGACTTCGCTCTCGCGGCTGAGGGTGCCGATTCGATTCATCGCGTGCTCTCTTCGATGGACCCAAGGCCAGAAAGTATGGAGGATTCATAACTACTGGCCCGAAAAGCGAACTACGCATACGACGACCGTTACGGTAATTGATCAAAAAAAAAAAAAAAAAAAAAGATCAGCGCCAGGTCAAAAATAGTGATAAACAGAGGCCATAAAGAAGAAAAGAGGAATCCCTGCTTAACTCTCGGTCAGTGAAATTTGGGTTACCTCCTCTGTTGAAAGGCCGGCCGGGGGTGATTTCGCTTTTCACAAAAATCACAATCGGTTTTTCAAATTGAAGTGCGTTATATCTACATTTCTTTCATCGTAATCTGCTTGTGGGAAAAAAAATCTTTTTTTTTTTGTTTTTGTTTTCTTAAAGAAGGACGACGACCTCGAGAACAAAAAAAAAAGAAAAGTTTAATCAAGACTGAACTGAAAGTTGGGGGATCGAAGACGATCAGATACCGTCCTACCGAGTCTCAACCATAATCGATTCGTTGCACTTAAAAAAACTCGTAGTTGGATATTGGGTGGGAGGGATAATAATTACAAAAAAAAAAAAAAAAAAAAAAAAAAAGGTTTGTTATCAATAATTCTTAAAACCCCAGTTCGCAAGAGCCTTACTTGTCGAAGCTAGCGCTACTGTCTTCACCCGAATAGAACGTCCGGTCATTATAGCCATATTTGGGGCAACTTTCAGTCCAGATGCAGCCATAACGACCGGGCGTTCTATTCGGGTGAGAAGACGGTAGCTTCCAAGGCTCGCGAGCCTCCGACTCGGACTTTTGAGAGTGACCTGCCGCGTTCACTACCAGCCCAGGCCTGAATCGAAAAAGGCGTACCAAAAAGAAAAAAAAAGAAAAAAAAAAGGAGCTTACCGCGTATACCGGTAAGAGCTCAACGCAGGCAGTACTACCGTCTTCCCCCGAGCACAACGCACCCACATTTTGGCTGTGCATCGGAGCGGAAAGATAGCTTGCATTCATTCACTATCAGGGTGCGTTGTATTCGGGGGGAAGACGGGAGGATGAAATGCTAATTTAACGGATTTTTTTTTTTCCAGAAGGAATAAACAATTTGAAGATTGTTTAGGGTCGTCTGCGTGTGGAAAAAGGTCCAAATTTGAAATACATACAACCTACATCCACGTGGGCGGCCTTGTACGCAAGAGGTTCTGAAGAGGTGGAGTTATAAGGAAGAAGATAAAAAAAGTAAAAAAAACTGAATTCATTTTTTCTCCTTTTTTTCTTTTTTTTTTTCTTTCGCATTTGCGCTCTGATATTTATGTGATGATATATAGTGTGTTAAAAGTTCACACACTTGAGCAAAAAGTTTTGTACTTTTTTCCTTTTTACTGAGGAGCTCTGGCAAACTCCAGTTCAGCCAATCGTCTTCATTTACTGACCTCTGGTTATATTCCGTACAGTGTTTATATATACACCTTCAACTCTGATGTCAAACGCTGATGGTAATTTTTTTATACGGATATTAGTATCCTAGGCTACCAGAGTGGCCCGGGGTCACTTGCCCGGCCGGGCCAAAAACATATATAAAAAGAAAAACAGAAATAATATTTTTGAACTTTATTTTTAATTTAAATATGGTAAAGAATTTCGATGTGACCCTGAGGCAAATTTTGTTCAGTTATTTTTTTGCATAACATAGTTTTTTCGGTTTTTTTTTTTTTTTTTTTTGCTAAGACCTTCCCTGGGCCTTGCACGGCCGTGCCGTCCGGGAAAATCGGGTGACCCGGGCGGCCCGGCTGGTAGCCTAGGATCATATTACAGTATTATGACCGAAAATTCCATGGTCAAAAAATTTTAAAAAAAAAAAATCATGGTCGATAACTACTGATTGACGATCGCTGAGCTGACTGTAGCGAAATTTGAACGGTTGACAAGGCAACCCGGCGCTGATTGGGCCTCATTCCCCTACTCACCAAATGTGCAAAATGAGAATGAATCTTCCGCTAGAACATGGGAAGATACACCGCTATATTTTGTCTTTTGTGCATGTGGAGAGTTGCGGAGTGAGGCCATTCTATCCATCATTCTATTTCTACCTCCTTCCGCGGGAAAATTTTACTAATTACTGTACGTCACAAATTGGCCTAGCTCAGTTGCTCCACCCATCATATGCCGATTGGAACTACAGACCTCAATTCGAATCCAGATTGAATCAGTTGCACGAACATCACTCTGAAAATCTTATTCCCTTGTCTACGACAGAAATAGGATGCTAAACAAAAGAAAAAAAAAGAAAAAAAAAAGAAGGAAAAAAAAGAAAAAAAAAAAGAAAAAAAAAGAAAAAAAAAGAAAAAAAAAGAGA